TCAAAATCCCAACGGCATTTTTTGTAGAAATAGAGAAAGCAATCATGAAATTCATATGGAAAAATAAACGACCCAGAATAGCAAAAACAACTCTAAGCAGGAAGTGTGAATCAGGCGGTATAGCGATACCAGACTTCAAACTATACTACAGAGCAATAGTAACAAAAACAGCATGGTACTGGTACCAAAACAGGCGGGTGGACCAATGGTACAGAATAGAGGACACAGAAACCAATCCACAAAACTATAACTACCTTATATTTGATAAAGGGGCTAAAAGCATGCAATGGAGGAAGGATAGCATCTTCAACAAATGGTGCTGGGAAAACTGGAAATCCATATGCAACAAAATGAAACTGAATCCCTTTCTCTCGCCATGCACAAACGTTAATTCAAAATGGATCAAGGAGCTTGATATCAAATCAGAGACACGCCGTCTGATAGAAGAAAAAGTTGGCTACGATCTACAGTCGGTGGGGTCGGGCTCCAAATTCCTCAATAGGACACCCATAGCACAAAAGTTAATAACTAGAATCAACAAATGGGACTTACTCAAACTAAAAAGTTTTTTCTCAGCAAAAGAAACAATAAGAGAGGTAAATAGAGAGCCTACATCCTGGGAACAAATCTTTACTCCTCACACTTCAGATAGAGCCCTAATATCCAGAGTATACAAAGAACTCAAAAAATTAGACAATAAGAGAACAAACAACCCAATCAACAAATGGGACAAGGACCTGAACAGACACTTCTCAGATGGGGACATACAGTCAATCAACAAGTACATGAAAAAATGCTCACCATCTCTAGCAGTCAGAGAAATGCAAATCAAAACCACCCTAAGATACCATCTCACTCCAGTTAGATTGGCAGCCATTATGAAGTCAAACAACAACAAGTGCTGGCGAGGATGTGGGGAAAAGGGTACACTTGTACATTGCTGGTGGGACTGCAAATTGGTGCAGCCAATTTGGAAAGCAGTATGGAGATTTCTTGGAAAGCTGGGAATGGAGCCACCATTTGACCCAGCTATTCCCCTTCTCAGTCTATTCCCTAAAGACCTAAAAAGAGCATGCTACAGGGACACTGCTACATCGATGTTCATAGCAGCACAATTCACAATAGCAAGACTGTGGAACCAACCTAGATGCCCTTCAATAGACGAATGGATAAAAAAAATGTGTCATTTATACACAATGGAGTATTACTCTGCATTAAAAATGACAAAATCATAGAATTTGCAGGGAAATGGATGGCATTAGAGCAGATTATGCTAAGTGAAGCTAGCCAATCCCTAAAAAACAAATGCCAAATGTCTTCTTTGATATAAGGAGAGTAACTAAGAACAGAGTAGGGTCGAAGAGCATGAGAAGAAGATTAATATTAAACAGGGATGAGAGGTGGGAGGGAAAGGGAGAGAGAAGGGAAATTGCATGGAAATGGAAGGAGACCCTCAGGGTTATACAAAAGTACATACAAGAGGAAGTGAGGGGAAAGGGAAAAATAATACAAGGGGGACAAATGAATGTCAGTAGAGGGGGCAGAGGGAGAAGAGGGGAGGGGAGGGGAGGGGAGGGGGGATAGTAGAGGATAGGTAAGGCAGCAGAACACAACAGACACTAGTATGGCAATATGTAAATCAATGGATGTGTAACTGATGTAATTGTGCAATCTGTATATGGGGTAAAAATGGGAGCTCATAACCCACTTGAATCAAAGTGTGAAATATGATATATCAAGAACTATGTAATGTTTTGAACAGCCAACAATAAAAAATTAAAAAAAAAGGCATTTATTGTTTTTATGATTATCTAGTTTCAACATGAGAATATATTTTTCATTGAGATATTTACCAACTTCTGAAATTACTGTTTTTGAAAATGATATAAAGATAGTTATGGGAACAGCATCAAAGAACTAACTCCAGATTAAAAGCTCTGTGTCTTTGGGCCTCATAAAAGTTCTCTTATGTGAAGGGGAGATTTTCTAGGATATTCCTAGAAGCTCTAACTGATGATAAGAAATAAAGAGTAAAGAACAAAACAAAAAACTCTATCACTATTCTTAGAGTTATGGGTAGTAGCAAAAGTGCCAGTAGGTCACTGGTGTTTTGTATATAAATAATTGCATTCTAGAGAACTAATATTATCTGTTTATCATCTTATACAAACCACACAGTGAGTTTGGCAGACAGTGACTCTAGGATTGATGATTATAGCTATATCTAGCTGTTCCAAGTAAACAGCTCCAATAGAAATCTTCACTGGTGTGCATATCTCTATTGGCTACAAAATAACTTTGGTAGCCTCAGGAACACCTAATCAAGTTGTCCACTATCAGCCAAAAGAATAATAAATTACATTAATAAAGCAACACATCCTCAGTTTGACTGTGAGGCAATTGTATGAGGGCTGCTTTCTGGTCAGTCTGTGTTTATTTCAGGCTGTCATTCTATTGGCTGCTTTAGGCCAATCCAGATCACATTTAAGTCTTGCCTCTGCTTCCTTTTCCTTGATCCCATCTGTCATGTTTCAGCAAATTTCAGGAAAATCTAAAAATGATTGTTTTTATACCATTAATTTAGTAGTATCTTTAATTTCATGTTCTCCTTACAATCTGTGTTCTCTTTGCAGGTCAAGTACTGGCATGTTGTTTGAGGAAAAGTGTTTTTATATATAAATGTTTTTCATATATTTTTCTTCTTTATCATTGATGCTTTTTTTCCCCTTTCCCCTTAGCCATCTTTGTGGTATAAAGAGTTAATTTGAAAGAACAGAACTAATTTCTACCATTCGTCACCTCTGTGACTTTAATCTCTTAACCTTTGGATCTTAGTTTTCTCACCCATAAAATGGTGGTGATGAAATATTTCTTAATGTATAAGGGAGGATTAAGCAATATTGTACATATGAAACTTACAAAAGGTTAATGTGCTTTTGCCTACTCGAGAATGAGAACCCAGAAATAAGTAGCAGGACCTGCAGTAAACACATGATTGATTCACACTGGTAGGGGTAGGAAGCTGCAAAGACCAATGTTACAACCTACCTCAAGGCTGGCTAGACATTTCCTACTCTAGACATTACCCTCACATAGCCATGTCTGATCATTTCTTGGCTTCTAATGCTATGCTAGATGTCCACTTACTAGAGAGCATCACAGGAATATCCTGCTTGCAGACAGAGTCTAGGGAAATCTTTGAGGAACATTTTTCCATAGATCAACCTTACTTGACCAGTCTTCTGGTCTTTGGCTGACTCAAGAAAAAATTTTCCTAAGTCCTTAGGAGGGAGTAGAATTTGTGGCCTTCTGAGGACCAATCCCCTTTTATTATCTGCCTTCCATTGAAATGGACAAGGAATGGTGTACACTTTGAGAGGGATTTTGATATTATATTTAAATAAGCTTTTCTTATAAAAGTATATTTTCTTTTGGCCAACCTATTTGAATTAATATTCAAATATAGGTTTCAAAGCAAAGAATTACCTTTAAAAAGTGTTTGATATGACAAAGGAGTAGCATCTTAGTCTTATTATATTGAAATATCAGGTCTAGCTGGCAGCTAGAGTTTAAAATAATTGAAATTAAATTAGAGTTTAAAATAATTGAAATTAAATAATTGAAATTAAATTAGAGTTTAAAATAATTGAAACTGTCATTTAAAAAAAAGTCAGACCGATGTGAATCTGCAGTATGTATACGGGGTAAAAATGGGAGTTCATAATCTGCTTGAATCAAATGTATGAAATATGATATGTCAAGAGCTTTGTAATGTTTTGAACAACTAATAATAAAAAATTTTTAAAAAATAATAAATAAATAAAAAGTCAGCATACATTAGTGTACACATAAAGGCTCACTCCTAGAATCTCTTTTTGTATTGTTGGCTTTGCACATTAGGGTAGAATTCCTCTTGATTATTGTAGAAGGCAGAGAGAAAATCATTCTTTTTTTTTTTTTAGCATACAAACTCTACAAATATGTCTTCAGTCTCTAGTGCAAAATGAAATCACAGTTACCGTCCCAAGAGACGTTGGTCATAAAGCCACCAACATGCACTTTCATATTTGTTTGATTCTCTCCCACTGTATAGGGTTTTTTCTCTCTCAGTATTGACCACTATAAGTCACTATAAGAATCTTTTACACTTTGTCCCTTATTTAGAAGATTCTAGAAAAATTAGCATTTCAGGGCTGGGGTTGTGGCTCAGTGGGAGAGCTCTTGCCTAGCATGCATGAGGCACTGGGTTTGATCCTCAGCACCACATATAAATAAATTAAATAAAACAAATAAAGGTAGATCAACAACTAAAAAATATTTTTAAAAAGTAGCATTTCAGTTGCTGTCAAGTTACTATGAAAAAGAGCATAGAAAGTTCTTTCTACTAAAATTCTCCAGATTAATGGTCCAGAGATGGGGTCAGTGCTGCCAGGAAATCCACAGCCAAGGTTAGAAAGAATTTGGAAACCTCACAGAAAGCAATTTGACATCATATTTAATAGCATCAAATTATGGACCTTTTCTTCACTTAGAAACACCTGCAGATTTTTTATCTTATGATCTTCCAGTCAAGAAAACTGCCTAGTAACCCTATTTATGTGTCATCATTTGTTTTTTTAATTTTGAAAAATGAAGCTGAAGATCACATTTAAGAAGAAATCTAGAAGATTTTAAAATAATGTAATTAAAGAAATACTTACACCTGTTTGGATTGTTGCTATGATTTGGGAGTTACCTATAAACTTTGATGGTATTTCAGGTAGTTATCATTTATTTTGAAATCCCAGAAGGCTATACATTTGCATTTATCACAGCCCAGATTTTCTAGATTAGTCTCAGATTAATGAAATTATTGATTATTGGTATTGTCAAGGAGGTAGCAGAGTTATAATCAATGTGTTGTTCATTTGAAAAGCTTCTTTATCTAATGGTTTATAACTGAATTGTTTCTGGAATTTCTTTGCTTCCTTTTCACTTTCTTCATTTAATTGTTCTTTTAGACATGAAGAACAGCCAAGGCCTTTTGTGTTGCATGCATGCTTAAGGAACTCAGATGAAGAAGTAAGATTTTTACAAACATGTTCTCGGGTTCTGGTGTTCTGTCTACTCCCATCAAAGGATGTCCAGTCTCTCAGCTTACGTATAATGCTCGCAGAAATTCTCACGATGAAAGGTAGACTTATAAAATTAATTTACAATTATGATAAGTTTGTAAATTAATGTGCCATATACTGTGATTACATTTTAACACTTGTGCAAACCTCATTTACTGTGGGACATATGGATAATAAAGTAGTATTTTAGAAATTTCAAGCTTATTTGTCATTCAGAGAAAACATTTGGCCTTACGTGATAAACATAAATTTTTTATATTATATATATTGCAAAATGCACAGTCCATTCTGCTGTTTACTTTGACAAGAAAACCAGTCCTTATGTTCTCCACTGCAAAGCATTCATTTGGGATAGCCTTCTGAGTTTTCCAGGTCAATAATGTACACGTTATAAGATTAATTGATATTGCCTACACATAGTCTGTGAATTTGGGATAACTAAAAATGGTACTGTGCCACAATATGACCTAAAAGAACCTTTCCCTGTCTTAGAATCTCAAACAAATAAGGAGAGAAGCACTGATTATATATCTCATTTATGTCAGGATTAGCCAGGTGTGCCCATCAACTGGTACAGCCAACCACAGAGAAAAGGGGAACTTTTTAATCTACAGTAAGTGGGATGGATTTGTAATAGTGTTATTGATTTTTTCTAACAACTTCCTCCATGAAGTCTGCTTTGACCAGTTACTAGAAGATTTTCATCTTTTGGCAGACTAAACTGGTCAAAACAAAAATGAATGAGCCTTATAAAAGAAATATAAGAAAAAGAAACAGTACTTAATTTTAATATCATTGTTAGTAATTTGGGTTTCTGATGACTTCTTTTCATTTACATTTCACTCACCTATTAAAATGACCACTTGATTGTATCTATATATATGGTAACTTATCCAGAGGGATAAGCAACTTTGAGTGTGTGTGTGTGTGTGTGTGTGTTTATGTACATGCATGCTTATATATGCACACATACCTGCATGCATGTGCCTTTTTATATATTTGAGCTGTTTATAATTTCCTCCATTTGACTTGTTGAAAAATGTTTTCCCAAATGTAGTTTCAACTATGTAATATGAAAACAATTCCTTCAGAAGAATATCTTTTTCCATGATGTTTTCTTCTCATTTCCACAGTCTTAAAGCCAATAGTGGAGTTATTGAGTAATCCAGATTACATTAACCAAATGCTGCTTGCCCAGTTGGAGTACAGAGAACAGATGAATGAACATCACAAGAGAGCCTACACCTATGCTCCCTCTTATGAAGAGTTCATCAAGCTCATCAATGGCAACTCTGATGTAGAATTCTTGAAGCAGCTAAGGTATTTGATCTTTAATTATAGCACAACAATAGCTACTAGTTATTTCCTAAGTAGGTATACATGTATATATGTATTATATATACATAATATATATGTATATATTTGTCAGATAAGCAGAAATAAATAACTAAAGTCCATAAATTTTACCATTTAGTGACAATTACATTTATATTTATTTAATTACATTTATCCAGCTTCTTCTTAACAGTGGAATTAGAATTAGGTTTTTCCAATAATTAAGTTGTAATAGATTGAAAGTTCTTCACTTGTTAGGAATACCTTATTAGCCACTCAGATGCTATCCCCCAAAAAGCATTTGAAGGAAATGATGTGTTTTTAAATTACAATGTTAAAAGAATACTGTTGGTTTTCATTTTTCTGGGAAATGCAGAGACTTAGTTCTGGGAATAAAGGGTTCTTGACTAATTATTTTAAGAAATCACATTAGAAAATATCAGAAGTCTCTTATAGGGGAACATGTATCCCTAAGATATTTTCAGGGTGACCATGTTTTTTTTCTTCTATTTTATATATATATATATATATATATATATATATATATATATATATATATATATATACACACACACACACACACACACACACACACACACACACACAGTATAATTATATAGCATTTTCTAGTCTGTGGATTTGCTAGGCTTGTTTTCTATGTTTACCTTTCTGTTTGTTCACAAATGATGTTACATAGGAAAAGGAAAGAAAACTCTGTAGTGTCAGTTTTAATTTTCATTAGTACTTTCAGTAAATCACTGGCGTAAAAGTAAAATATTGACTAAAATTGAATCTTTGAACTATTCAAGGATTTTTAGATTGGCCACATTTGCCTTTGAACTGGGGTTCACATTAAGGTGACTTATGCTATTTAACTTACTGGTTGAAATAGTAATTACATAAAAGACTCATTGTAGATGGCATTGTATTCTTATGGAGTGTATCATGTTAATCTTGATCCTACAAATGTGTTACAATGAGTTTAGTCATATGATTTTCTTTAAAAGTGATTAATTCTTTTGGACTATAATATCTGGATATTTTATTTATCCTTCTCCTTCTACAAACAGTCTTAAATGAAATGTGCTAAATGGTAATTATTTATTATAGATTTGTGATTATTTGTATATGAATCCAGAAATTTCATTTTGAGAAGTGAGACACATATTTGTCATCTGGGGTTTGTAGATTATACCTACTCAAAGGTCTTCCTTATCATGGCTTCCTTTGATTCCTTTTTTTAAAAAGAGCCCACAATAACATGCTCTTGGTCATGCACTCCAAGCTCTGGTTCTGAGGATGCCATTCAGACCTGTGCTCCAATATTTACCCACCTGTTGCATTTATGCCCACGTCCTAGCAGTCACTTTCTGCACCGCACCCCCAACCACAGCCCATGGCAATCTACTTTCTGTTTTGATGAATTTGCCTATTTTGGACATTTTATATAAATTGGAATCATTCAATATATGTATGGTTTGACCAAAGTAGCATATGCTGACCACTCTAAGACATTGTTTAGAAACAGATACCTCATGTTCATAAATTGTGGGTGCACTGAATTCCTAAGCATTTTTTCCCTGGTAAATGATCCACAGTAAAGTCAAACATGGACCATTTGGTAACACCAAGTAAGTTTAAGATAATTTAAAGTCAATGGTGGCAGATTAAGTGAGTAAGTATTCATTGTTCTTCCAAACTTATGAATGAATATTATATTTTATATGTCAAACACATGGTAAAATAGTGATACTAACAAAAAAGGTATAAAAGATATTTTTGAATGTTCAACTGTTAGTTCTCCAGCACCATCTGTCATTTTGTATTTGAGCACAATTTCTATGTGAGAAGATGAATGAATCTTGATAAGAATTAATAGTCCCTCTTTTTCAAAATATACTAACCAGATTCTTAGAACTTTTTGAATACTGCAGTTCAACATTTGGCAATAAAGAGGTATCTCAGCAAGAGTTGGCCCTTTAAATGATAAATTGGTATCTGCTGCCCCAGGATCATTGAAATAACTTGATTTGGCTACAATAGGAAAATCATGCCTTAACTAGGTGACCAAAAATTACACCAGATCTTACATTTTCTCTTTCCCATCTGATATGTGATGAAATGAAAATGGTGTTAGCATTTCAGTCTTCCTTTTCACTTCATAAATAAGGCAACATTGTGGAACAGCATAAAGGGAGTTCTAGGAACCAGGCCCTTTGTTCAGTCTTGAGACAACTAAGGGACAGTAGAAATGCTGAGCTAAAGAACACTTGTTTCAAAAATTGAGATATAATTCACAGATAATTAAGTTCACCATTTAAAAGTGTATACTTCAGTGGTTTATAGTGGGTTCAAAAATTGCACAACTAATATTACTGTATAATTCCAAAATATTTTCATCACTCTCAAAAGAAATTCCTATGCCCATTAGCAGTCACTTTCTATCCCACCCCCCGAAGCCCTTGGCAATCTCTAATCTGCTTTTTGAATTTGCCTATTCTGGATATTTTATATAAATGGAATCATGCAATATGTGGCCTTTGGTGTCTGGCTTCTTTCACTCAGTATGTTTTTAAGGTTCATCCATACTACAGAATGTATCAGTACTCATTCCTTTTTTTGGCTGAATAATATATGTCATTGGATGAATATATCACATTTTCTTTATCCATTTATCAGTTAACAGACAATTTGTCTTGCTTACACTTTAAAGAATGCCTTTTGAGTGACCACTGAGCATCTTCAGGAGCATTTCAGTAGCATTCCCAATGACTCTTGGTAAATGAAAGTAAAATAAAATGTTATGGATTCTAACCTGTTCCTACCACTACCTACCCCAGTGTGCCTGTTACCAAGAAGAGATGGAATACAGACACCAGGAAGGGATATTCCTCTTATGCATTGTTACTGATCTATGTATGTTATTCTCTTTTGTGTCTTCCATCATACTGTTTGAGTTTGCATTTCTAGCAGAGTTTACTAAGTCAGTGGAGAGAGCAGCTAGAAGTATTTTGATGATTAGATAATCAAGAACGTCAGTCTATTAGAAGAAAAATACATTTGCAGGTCTAATTAAGTAGGTATGATGACTTAGTCCAGTTTAAATGGCAATGTTGCTGACTTCTAAACCTTTGTAAGTTTTCAGTTCCTCATGTAAGTCTTGGGGTATGTGTTCATGACTTCCTCTAGAAACTTCTCTAGTAATAAGGGGTTGAAAGAGAACTTTCCTTGAAAGTGTGATATGCATCTCAGATATGGGATTATGGTAATCTGAAGAATTTATAGTCCCTGCAACAAGCTTGGCAAAGAACCTTGGGAGAAAATATCATGGAATGCATTTTTCTCAATAATAGATATATACCTCCAGAGTTACTTTCTGAATAGTTTTGTAAATACTCCGTAGAGTCTTCCTCTGGACCTATGTTTGTGATACAGCTTCTTGGGCTTTGCAATATAGTAGAATTCCAGGCAGTTCTATTTGATAGGGCACTGGGATATCTTTTATTCATGGTGCATTTGTCCTTATTCCTTGCATCTTAGGGATAGACCTGAGGGCTAACCTTTGTTCTCTGTTTCATGCACAGCTAAGTAGAAAGGCTACCAGGAATGAATGTAATTATAGAGATTGACCTTTTTGCTCCAAAATGTAGATGATGTTACATAAATTGATAGTCATTATTGCTTTTTATTATATTCTTGTCTTAAGTCTACCTTACTGAGACTTATCAGCCTCCCAGCATTAATAGCATTGCTCTCTTCAGTCATAGTCTGAATACCCTGTTGTTTCTCTGGCTTAGAGTACTCTGCTGTCTGACTTTATTAGCATTTTAGGTCACTATTTTCAAATTGCTGTCAATAAAATTTTGGAATAAGCTGCCTCAGGCAGGGAGTATGTTTTATTTAGACTAAGCAGTTAATGAAATCATCCACTTTTATTTCCCACATATTTGGGAGACAGATGCATGTTTTCTAAAGGAAATAGTCATTCCACTCTGCTAGGATGGAATGCATTGAAGACAAAATAAAATAAAGAACCATGAAGGTGATAATTATAGTTCTGGGATAGTTTAGTAATTTTCTGTGTCAGTCTGAGATGCTTTCATAGTAGGATTATACAGCTAGAAATGCTTCTTTCAAATACACTAAATGAGTTGTTTTTAACCCTGATCATAGAGTCACCTAGACTTTAATAAAATTACAGTTGAATATTCCTCTGTCCTTTTTAGCTACTTCCTTTTCTTTTTTAGTATCCAGGAAGTTGAAGTGAAGATGTGGTAGCTAGACTGGTTCAATATTTTGAATTTTCCATGGTTTTATAGTAGGAGCAGTGTTGAATACTGCCAAAACACAGGAACCAAAAATGTGAATGCTGTCTTGGCACAGGATATTAATGGGCAGCTGGATAGATTTCCTTCTGCTGGCGTGGGTGATGGGGTAATATCATAGTCCGGAAAGGCAAACCTGAGCTTAGAGTGAAGGTGCAGCCATTAGTGAAGCTCAACAGTTTGAATCATACTAGAGAAAGTGCTGAGTATTCCCTTATATTGAAGATAAAGTGGAGTCAGTATATAAGAAGGGAAAATGAAAGGTTCTGCCCTTATAGAACTTGATGTAAAGTAGTGGGCAGATTGTGGTCCAGGAAAGCATCCAGTGCCCTCATTGGTAATTTTTCAGCATATCTGTAAGACATACTCCACTGAAAATTGTTCCCCCCCCCGCCCACACACACACACAAGTAGATACCCAAGTGTCACCCTAGGAATTTTATGTGACTGATCTAGAGAAGAACCAAAGCCCCCAAAGTAATCCCAACAAGTATTAATTGGAATATTCTTCCACACATTACCACTGAAGTCTTGCCTAGATATCATATATATTGTAATTCTTTGAAAAGTAGTTTGAGATATATGGTAAGTGTTGAGGATAATATTGATTAGACAGGACCTTTCAGTCTCTACACTTCAGTCTGAACCAAAGGCTTTTTT